ACTAAATGGGGGGCTGATGCAGTTGATCAGATAATTAAAAAAACCTGATGCTCCTTCTCTCCTCTTAGGGTTCTAGGAAAAGTTCCAACCTTTCTTCTTCTCTCTCCTTTTTGCACCATCACCTAGCCTCAAGACACCATTACAGTCTTGAGAAAGATAATCCAAACACTTGGTAGCCTCTTCCTTGCATGCGCCTAGCCAGCCACCGAGGATAAGGAGGGATCAAGGAGAAAGAGTTTTCGCTAGCAAGAAGGAGATAACTGTGTGGATCACCGTTGGAGGGCGTCATCCATTTGCGCCTACAAGTGAAAAAGGTAATTCTGAAACCCCATATTGTTTCAACGTAAAGCATTCATACATGGGGTGTATAGATGGTCTATGCTTCCGCTGCGAAATTTTTTGATTTTCTACCCATGTATGCGCTCCATAGTATGACTATGGTGCAATTTTTGAACCTTCATGGGGTTTGTGAGTTTTCTAGCATTTTGAGCAAATTGTAAATTAGATGGTTGATTGTGTCCTTGTGGTGATAGGATTGAGCCTTGTGGACCAACATTGAGTGACCAACCATTGGATCACGCTATGGAGCTTGATTAGCCCATTTGGATAGGTAAGCTCATGCCAATTTGTGGTGTAGAGTTGTTGTTTTGTTGATGAATATATGGATATTCATTAGCTTGTATTGATTGATTGTGTGACACCTTGGTGTAGGTGTGTATTTTTCAAGTTGTAGCTTGAATTCAAAGTTGATTGGTTGCAAAACTTGTTGGCGAGCAAAGTTTGAATTGGAGCTTTGAGGTAAGCCTTCGGATCTTGGGAATTGATCCCTTTATTGTTCCACCAAGCCCGGAATGGGTAGTGGTTATTAATAGTGTTGTATATGCAATAAGGTAGTTTAATGCTTTGTTATACGTATATGTATGCATTTTGTATGGCATAGGATGGTGTTTCCCTATGTTTTGTATGTTGCATGAGGATGCATAATTCATACTTGGTAGTTTAGCTGGCCAATAGGACTATTTTGCATCTGAGCTTAGGACGACATGAGAGCTCGAGGGATGTCTCCTGGAGATGTTTTTACACACTGCATGGATATGTATTTACTGCATTATTTACTGATTATTGCTATTATACTATGAGTGAACTATGAGGTGGAGAGATGCTCCAAGGACTCCTGGTTTACTGAGATGTATTTATATATCTCACCCCGTGTTGTGGGGACCCCTTTTCAGGTAAAGATACTGCATGAGCCTCTGATGGCAAGTGGCCATATTTGGACTAGTTGATACATGAAGATTTTGCATGATTTGGGATTATGCATGCCATTTTGTAGTTCCTATGTATAAGATTGATATTTGAAAGCCGTTGGTTTTATGTATGTCATGCTTTATTTTGATGGACTTAGCCTATGCTCATCTCCCTTGGTATCTTTTTTGTTGATGGGAGCCAAAGATTTGATCATAGTGTTTTGTATCTAAGTCCCATGATTATGTATTAGAGACACTTGGATATTGTACTCATTGTATACATGATTGAAGGGCATGGATGCCTATTTGATAAATGTATGTCTTAAAATTGTAAAGATGATGTCTTATAGTAGTTATAAAGTGTCAATTAGGTGGAAGAAGGCCTATAGCTTGAGTATTAATGAAAAAAATAAGGAAATCATGTCTTTTTGTTCATTTTTCATATACTATATGATAGATTTGGACCCTTGTGTCTTAATGGAAGTTATAGATCTTTTTCTTAGCTTTCCAACGAGACCAAGATTGTGTCAATCGGATAAGTATAGCTCAAGTTATGGATAAAATACCAAAATATGGTGAAATCTCTAGAACCGTGGCGCTCTCAGTGCCAAGTTGGCGCTGTTGGCTCCGTAGGATGCGAAAATGGTAGTAAGGTTGGCGCTGTCAGCGCGGGTTTGGCGCTGTCTGCGTGGGACCCCTGTGAAATTCCACAGTTTTTCTTCAAGAATTCATAACTTGAGCTACGGTGCTTCGATTTGAGCGCGGTTTGAACCCACGCGTAGCTAACAAAGAATTATATAACATATGTGAAGATGGGGACCATAAAAGTAGTATAGAAATTTCTTAAATAAATAAAGAGTGGAGATGTTTAGTGTTTAATAACAATAAAAATGAGTTTATATGCCTCGTTAGTCTAAGGGGACTACATGGCACACTATAGTGGTAACGTATGGTTTAAATAAAATTACATTAGGTGTTCCACACATAGTTTAAATTATGATTACAACTATTGGAATTGTTTTAATTACGGATTTGATTTTAAATATAAACGTTTATAAACAAAAAAGAAAAAGTTTTTCCGTACTTTAATTCAATTGTTGTGATTGTAACTAAGCCTAATGCCATACGTGATGTTAACAAACCGGTTCTAGAACGGAGTGTTACATGCATTCAATTCTGTTTCGAAATATAGATGACAACTGGAAGTTCTAACGATTCCAATGGACTTTGTAAGGTTGAGAGAGATTCACTCCTTCAAGGAAATGAAAAAGAAATTGTTTCGGCGGTAGAGAGAGGGGCCGCCGGCGAGGCGGCTGCTATGGGGAGCGGCGGCAGCAGTAGAGACTAGATAGAAGGGAAAAAAGAGAAGAGGGGAGAGAGAGAAAAGAAGAGAGAAGGGCTTTATATTGATCAAATCAGGACCGTCGGATCAAAATAGCCAATTAACGGTGAGATTGATTGGTAGTAACATGATAGTAACCCTACTTGGTTGTTACAATATCCTACCCTATATATATATATATATATATATATATATATATATATATATATATATATATATATATATATAGTCATTTCTTGAAATGTGCGCTTTTAAGTTAAAAAGTTTATATAATCACCAAACCATTTTAGCTTCTTATTTTTTAACCATTTTTTTTAGCTTTAACTTGAATGTAGATTCTACCTTAAAAAAAAGGGATCCAAACAGATTCTAAGAATATGTAATCTAACCCAATCTATAGAAGAGTCAGGAGTGACAAATCATTGTGCACAAAGAGATCATGTGTATACAATGACAATTAAGTCATACTTAGTGTAATCTAACCCAATCAAGAATGTATGACCAGTCATACTTCAATCAAGAGTGTATGACTGGTCATACTTAGTGTAATTTGTACAAAAAATTTGTAAACGGATTTTTTCCTATATATATATATATATAAGGCAGGATCCTTTGACACCGGTGTCAAATTTAAAGTTTGACATCCCATCTGATAGCCGTTAGATCAGAAAAGATCAACGACTCTGATTTATAAGTATGTGACACTATTGATCTTTTTTTATCTAACGACTCTCAAATAAGGTGTCAAACTTTAAATTTGACACCAATGTCAAATGATCATTTCCCTATATATATATATATATATATAGTCATTTTTTGAAATGAGTGCTTTTAAGTTAAAAAATTTATATAATCGCCGAATCATTTTAGCTTATTCTTTTTAAACCTTTTTTCTTTTTTTGCTTTAACTTGAATGCAGATTCTATCTTAAAAAAAAGGGGAATCCAAATAGATTCTAAGAATATGTAATCTAACCCAATCTATAGAAGAGGTGAATATATATATATATATATATATATATAGTCATTTTTTGAAATGAATGCTTCTAAATTAAAAAAATTATATAATCGCCGAATCGTTTTAGCTTCTTTTTTAACCTTTTTTCTCTTTTTTTTAGCTTTAACTTGAATTTTGATTCTACCTTAAAAAAAGGGGATCCAAATATATTCTAAGAATATGTAATCTAACTCAATCTATAGAAGAGACGGGAGTATATATATATATATATATAGTCATTTTTTGAAATGAGTGCTTTTAAGTTAAAAAATTTATATAATCGCCGAATCGTTTTAGCTTCTTCTTTTTTAACCTTTTTTCTTTTTTTGCTTTAACTTGAATGCAGATTCTACCTTAAAAAAAAGGGGAATCCAAATAGATTCTAAGAATATGTAATCTAACCCAATCTATAGAAGAGGTGAATATATATATATATAGTCATTTTTTGAAATGAATGCTTCTAAATTAAAAAATTTATATAATCGCCGAATCGTTTTAACTTCTTCTTTTTTAACCTTTTTTCTCTTTTTTTAGCTTTAACTTGAATGTAGATTCTACCTTAAAACAAAAAGGATCCAAATAGATTCTAAGAATATGTAATCTAACCCAATCTATAGAAGATACGGGAGTGACAAATCATTGTGCACAAAGAGATCATGTGTATGCAATGACAGTAAGGCCGAGTAGGTTTCTGAAGATGTGTAAATGATTTACATTGAGGTATCAGAATTTGAATAGGGTTCGAATTCTTAATGAATGAGGTCCTTTGATATTTAAACTACCATTATCATGATTTCTTATCTTTTGGAAGTCACGTCACGAGCCTATGAAATGGGTCCAAAACAAGTGGCTATTAGGGATGGTATTGAAAGAAAGGTAATTTGATGTTAACATGAAATTTGCACAAATATTATTTGAAAATGTGCCTCAAACTATCAAGTGGGCCCTCTGATCAAGATTATTCCCTGAATTCATGTATGGAAATAAAGTTTCTTCAATTTTTTGTGTGGTTGCAATCTAATGAAGGATAAATGAGAAGTCATTTGCCTTTGTCCATCATGTTACTATTTTACTTGTATCCCTTCTGCATTTCCAATGGCATTGCATCATGCATGCAGAAGACTAACCGAAACAAGTTTTCTTTAAACAAAGTGATATAGTTACCATTAACTGCAAGGAATTTGTGATAACAACATCTCCATTGATTCCTTAATTTAGAAACCCCATTTGTTGTTCTTCAATAATGTGTGAAAATATGCTTCAATCAACCTATACTACATTAGAAATATTTTCAGTTCAATGTGATTAGATCCTAAAAGCACCACGTTTTAGCTAGCTAGATAAGCTCAATGATACAAAGTATGTACTCAAATATATTATAACTCTTATTTCAAAATATATAAAAGATAGGAACTGTATCTACAAAACTCTGTTCTTTCTACACAAACCTTCATATTTAACTATACATGGTCACTGGAACAATCCAAACTCCTACTTTTGTTCCTCTCATGTTTGACTACTCTGAAGATTATTAGGCAAAACACTCATAATTTTCTGTCTTTGGAAGCACTAATTAAGTACAATACTAACAAATACCCTCAGACAGATGGTGAATCCTCTGTGGAACTTGAAGATGGTAGTGGAGTAGAAGCTTCTAAATCAATTTTATCCGTGTTCACAAACTTCAAGTAATTTTCAATCTCTTTGGAATCTTGGCTCCCATAGCTAAAATGAAACCACTTCGCATGTTGTTTTCTCTTTCTATCACTTATGGCAATAGCAAGGTCATTGGGGAATAGGTCTCGGAGGACAAAGGCATGCAATATAGTTGATACAAGCAGTGTTATTACTGTGAGTGTGGAGATGAGACCCAATATAACACATAGTATCCTAGTAAAAATATTAGTGACCTCATTTGAGTATCTTATGGTTGCAATTGCTGCACCAGTCATCGGAAAAGTATAGGCCCACCATGCAAGCGAGAATCTGCATAATCACATCAAATATTTTTGTCAGAAAATTCAATAGCAGAGTAACCAATATAAGAGATAAGGGAGATGTAACATACTTAAATCCTCTGAAAAAATTGATCCTGACAGCCTGCAAAAGAACATGGAACTACTAAGTAATTTTGATATTAAAAATATTAACATTGTTAGATGTGAAAATTATATAAGACCTGTTTTAGATTACATATGAAAGCTACACAAGAATGACCATGCATATTTCAAATAGATCAGGTTATACACATCACCTCTTACCATTATTTTTATTTCTGTCAGATCAATTTTAAATCAACGTCCCTCAGTCGTGAACTAGTGCGACTAGTGAGAGATGTTGATCTAAATTTGATCTCACGATAATAAAAAATTATAGTAAGAGGTGATAAGTATAATCTATTGGTAAATAAAAATGTGACACATAAAACTTACCAGTGAGAAATAAAGGAACAAGGCAATGAAATAGGCAATCCTTGATCCATAATCAAAAGAACCCTGCATCTTAGCCCAGGCCATGGAAGCAACGCTAGGTGCTGCAACAAAAAGAAAGAACACTGGATGGAGCTCTTTTGGGAGGGTCTCATTTGTGGGAAGTCTCTGGTATAGAGTTACAAATAAGACTGTGTAGTGAGCCAGCCCAACAGCAAAGAAGAAAATGGGGCCTTCTTTTAGACCCATAGATGCACCCAATAAGGCCCCAACAAAGTTTCCAACAATTGATAAGTGATTTGAAGGATTAGCCACCTTTGAAAGCCTCCTTTGGCCCCCAGACATCCACTGTCCATAAATCTTAAGCTCAAGACAGAATATTGGGGTCATTAGAATGTACCAAAGAACTTGATGAAGGTTTTTGGTAACTGATGGGGGAACCCCAAGAGCTAAGAACAAGAGAGCTATCCATGGTGCAAAGAAGAAGTTAATACGGATTGGATGGTAGTACTCACGACGAATTGCTTCAAAGTAGAAAATAAGTTTAAGAAAATAGATGGTGAAAACAGTAGCAACAAGTGCAATGGCAATGAACCATAAGATTAAATTCACTTTGAGGCTTATATGAAGAAATTCAGTGGAAGGAGAAGTGGCCAGTGTTTTCCATAGAATTGCTTGGCTGCTAACTCCAAGGCAAATACCAAAAGATGATACAGGAAACCGAAGAAGAAATGGCCATTTTTTGTCCTGAGGAAGCACTATCTCTTCTGAAGACTGTTGAGGTATGAAAAAAAAAATATGTTACAATCTTCATTAAGTAAAACCCAGCCATACTAGGAAATTATGGGGAAATGGAAGAAAAAGGAAACATAATTAGAATCTTCAATAAGTAAAATATGGTGTTGTTGTGTTTGATGCAAAGTTAAATATGTCTAAATGTGCTTTCATCTAAGTTTCCTTCAAGACATAAACATTGTGAATGCCTAGTGAGACCAGTTCTGTCATGTGAAATATTTTTAACATATAATTTGAATTGGTAGAAGGTAATCACATACCCTTAAAGTTTCTAACTCTGGACCTTCCAATGCATCAAAGTACCGATCAACAGGTAAAGACCTATCAGTGCTTCTCATGTTGTTTTCGTCTTCTGGAGTTCTTCTTGGTGACTTTCCACGTAGAATTGATAATTGTCTCTCAAGTGTCCCAGTCCCAGACCATGTTTTAAAAGAGTCAAACCTCTTATCCTTGAACATTTTGATGGCAGGATTGTTGGAAACTTTGACATGATTAGTTGCCTCTGGGTGCACATAGCCTTTTGGCATTGGTTGAGAGTAACATTTTGATGGATGCGGAGGCAAAGAACCTGGAGTTCCTGAATGAGGAGAGGAAATAGGAACACCATCTCTGAAACTAGTTTCACCACTAAAGTGAACTCTTTCGAAGTTCGGTGGCTGAACATCTTCTGAAGAGAGTGGCATGCTGATTGAAATTGATTGCTTCCTTTGATGATTGATGACTATAACAGGTTCATCATGTTGTCTTCCGGGTGAGGTTGCTACACTCTGTTGCAAACAATGGGAAGAGTTAGATTTTACTTATATTACAAATCATAAACATCAAAAGGTATATTGTAAATTACTAAGATCTTAAATTAATATAGGCACTCTAAATCCTACTACATCCCATAAAAGGACTCAATTTTGGAAATCAGTTTTATGTTAACATATTTAATTTTTGCAGGTAAGGTACTGAAAAAGAGTCTTACTATGACAGTTGGGGTAGAAAATTGAGAGTCAACAGTATCAAAGCCAGCAACATCATTTGATGATATATACTTAATTAGTGATGGAACTTCAGGAGAGCCTTGTTCTGCAATTTCAATGTTTAGGTTGTTTTCCATGCTAGACCTGAAAAGATAAAAATGATTGTGTTACATTAGACTCCCTCAATGAGGTACCTACAAATTTCTCAATCAGTTACATCAGATCAGACCAAATCAAATTCAACTTATAGCTTTGGTGCTAATCTAGAGGATCTCATTGGTAAGCTTGGAAGCAGAAACAAGTAAAGCTGCTTAAGTTGTTGACAGATGTTGCAAAATTCATAACCAAATGAAATAGTGAACAGAAAGATCAGATGGGTTTGACCAAGAATTATGCATGAGCTACCAATTGTATCTTACCTTCATTTTGTTAACAAATTGAAAATCTTTTATATACAAGTAGGATCACATTCATCTACTTAATTCACATAATACTTTTTGTTTTTTAAAACTATACTCCCTCTTGCATGTAAATCTAAAGGGTATTGCTAAAATCATAGGTAGTCAAAATCAGTGAACATGAAGATGTCTTTTTTCTAATTAATAAGTCTAACCTCTTCAAGAAAGGCTCTTGTCAACTATAATAACAAAACAGAGAAAGTCCTTTTCCCCTGCCCAGAAAAAAATGGCCAGAAATTTGAAATTTTTCAGTCCCTTTCACATCTTCTCCAGAAACAGTGCAAACATTTATGAAGTTTGCTTAAAGCCACAAATGCTACATACCCCAGATATCAATCCGAATCCTACTGGCCATGGATCAACATCAATATATAAAGGAGCCATTATTGAAAACTTGAAAATAACATCAGTCTTTGAAGAAAGAAAAAAAAAAATCAATACAAAACCCATTGTAGACTTCTAGTTTGGATTAGAATGATTATATGCACAAAGTAAATAGCTGTAGAATGCATAAGAACATTGTCCTAATCCTGACACGAAGGAAACACAAGAAGAAAAAAAAGAAAAAGGAATAAGAATCCAAACCTTTAATCTTTTCTTCTTTGCCAGAGGATTGGTTGTAGAACTCAGGATGCAGAAAACTGAACCTGGGTTTTGAACAACGTCCTTATGAGTAGATGAACCAATAGGGAGAATTTGAATATGAAACAAAAATTAGAATTCAGATGAGAAAATAAACCAAGTGGTTCAAGAAAAAATGGGAATCAAAGACAGCACATGGGTTGAAGTCACAGGAAGATGCTTACATATATAGGCTAAGCCTATGGTTGGCGGAGTGTATTTTGAAGCTGTTACGTCGAAAGCACTTATTTTAGATAATTACGGCTACTTATTTGTTTGAAAAAGACGCGTCCGCGTGACAAGACAAATCAGCATAAAATATGGTATTACAGGTAAGAAAGTATTGACTTTTGTTTTTATTTTCAGTCAATAAATCCTCAAATATTTTAATTCAGTTGTCATGTTATATAAAAAAATCTTAACCCTACAAAAATATAAAAATACATTAATAGTGATGGTTTTATAATTATTTATTTTAATATATTTTCTCTCTTTTCATGGCAAAAAAATTAATTTAATGCTTTTTAATAAATTAATTATGCATTTATTACAGTTTTGGAAATAATTACACAATATGACGCCTAATTTGAACGTTACTAAAGACGCCTAAATTGGGCGTCACTTAAGAGATAATCACGCCTAATTTAGGCGTCACTCATCAGGTGTTGAAACGTGTCATATTTTTTTTCTAAAAAAATAATAATTTAATCATAAAAATTATGAAGGCCATAACTTTTGACTCGGGTATCCAAATCAGGTAATTCCTTTTTTGATTCCACATAAATTTTCGAGATCTACGCAATGACATATCATTTGATATATTTTATTTCTCGCAAACATAATTTAAATTTAAATCAAGTAATCCTTCTTTCTTAAAGATTTAGAATATTTATTTAATTATTTCTTTTATTAATACAGATTTTTCAAATTGATTTTTGAGTTTAATCAAAAATCAAATCTTTATTTTGTTTTTCTTACTAATAATAATTGTTATTTTTCTAATTTAAATCACATATCAAATCTTGATTTAATTTTTATATTAAATCACAAACCCAGAACAGAGGCTTCTGAGTTTAAAAATATGACACGTGTCAACACCTGACACGTCACCAATGACGTCTAAATTGGGTTTCAATCAAGAGTCAATCACGCCTAATTTAGGTAATTTTATTTTTGAAAAACATTCATAAGTCATAATTAATTTCAGACCACAAATAATAACCCAGAAGCTTATAGCATTAATCATTAATTACAAAAATAATATCCTTCTTCCTTAGAGATTTACAATATTTATTTAATTATTTCCTTTATTTCTATAGATTTTCAAATTGATTTTTTAGTTTAAATCATAAATCAAATCTTTATTTTGTTTTCCTTATTAATAATAATTTTTATTTTTATTTTTAATTTAAATCACAAACCAAATTTTTGTTATAATAAAAAAAAATTATTATAAAAAATATTTAAATCACAAATCAAAATTTTATTTATTTTTTATATCAATTCACAAATCCAGAACTCAGAGGCTTATGGGTTTAACCACTCTTATAATATCATTCTTGCAAATTTAAATTGCGTTTGTCAGAAATAAAATATGTCAAATGAGATGTCATTGCGTAGATCTCAAAAAGTTATGTGGAATCACAAAAAGAATTACCTGATTTGGATACCCGAGTCAAAAGTTATGACTTTCAGAAGTTTTATGATTAAATTATTTTTTTTGAAAAAAAAATATGACAGGTGTCAACACCTGATAAGTGATGCCTAAATTAGACAGAATTGCCTCTTGAGTGACGCCCAATTTAGGCGTCTTTAGTGACGCACAAATTGGACGTCATATTGTACAATAAATGTGTAATTATTCCTAAAACTGTAATAAATGCATAATTAATTTATTAAAAAGCACTAACTTAATTTTTTTGCCCTCTTCTCATATCATTATTAATTTATTTTTGTATAATTATAATTTTCTCATATAATATAATATGATCATATTAATTAACATATTAAAAAATGGAGAATACTTTTCTCCTTTAACAGGAGAGAAGAGTTGTCTCCTATTTTGAGACAAAAAAATGGGAACAGCAATTTAAAAATAAAATAAAAGCTTGACACAAAAATCGATGTATGTGTAAGAATGAAATGTTGTTTCATGTGAAAGGAGAAAATCATTTCCCTTAAAAAATTCACTCTCCATAATATAATGCTTAATTTATTTTCTGTCTCGACAACTGTTTTGACTCGATATTAAAAAAACATTTGAGTACGCATGAGGTGGGCCTGCAATTGCATACAGTGGTACATTTAGCGGAAATGAATAATAAAATAATTGTCGAAATGTCCATCTACATTATATGATTTTTTCTTTTCTTTTGAAATAAATATAAAATCAAACTTTTGATTTTAGATTCAAACACTCATTAACCACCGCTACTCGGACACTTATTTGGGTTCGACGATATCATGTCGAATATGTTTATAAAATATATAAGAGAAATATTTATTATATTAAATGACATAATTTTATATTATTTTAAGTGAAAGGATTGTGGTTTAGTGCATATTTTGTTATTTTTTATTTTCTTTCTCCTTCACACTACCATGTCTTTCACTCTTTTCTTAATTTTGTAAAGAAGAAAGAATATAAAAAGTCAATAAATATACATAAACATAGTTGTTTCATTTAAAATAATATAAAATTATACCATTTAAAATAATAAATTCTTTTTCCAATATATATATATATATATATATATATATATATAGTTATAATATTTTTGAAGAGAGAAAAAAAAATTATGTATTACCCGTAATACATAGTTAAATTTTTGAAGATAGAGAAAATACATTATGTACTACCCGTAGTACATAGTGTAACTAGCTGCACCAATCCTTAGGCACAGATATTATACATCTGCTTAACTCTATATATATATATATATATATATATATATATATATATATATATATATAAAATATCAATATTATATATATATATATATATATAAAAGATCAATTTACATTCGTCTAAGTGTTACATTCAATTTTAAGTATTATTATTTTTTTGAAAATAACCAATTTACTTTCACTTGTATCTAACGATTCACATATAATAGAGTCGTTAGACATAAGTGAGATTATTAGATGTGCAAATTTTTTATTCTTATCCCGATATATATATCTTATGCACATTAGTGATTGATTCTAATTGCATTTGATGACTCTAAGTTGGTAGTTAAATATAAATAAAATTAATAATTATTTTTATATCGGTTTAACTTTTATATATCTATACGTATATAAAAGGTATCGGAATACAAAAGAGTAGGTAATATTCTCTCCCCCGTCTCCTAAATGAGGCGAAAAAGACAAAACAATGGTTGTTTTATGATGACAGCTATTACCAAGCATATTGAAGGATTTGTTTGAAGAACAGCGCAAGCTGCCAAGTAAAAGTCTCGATATATAAAATTGTAACGATAATGGATTAAACGAAAGTGAATGGATTCATAAACCCAATGTTATAAGATTTTGAGTTGAAATATAGTATCAGACTCACTTAGTATAGTTGGTGTATCCTTAATCTATTGATAATAGTTCCTCGCCACATGCTTCCCTCTGAACCTACCTAACAGTGATATCAGAGCTGAGTTGGACTCAAGTTAGCTAAATATTTGGCTAGAAGTGGGTTAACTACTTGAGCCTAAAATATTAGAGGAGTATATTAATAATAGGTTTCACACTTGAAAAAAAAAAATTATTAAAATATTTAAAAATGATGAGTCCCACATAAAGGATAGTTTACAATTTTCATACAGTCCTTATCAGGACAACAAAGACCCGGCTGCAATTTTTGTGATTTGGAAACACAATTGTTTCAGGTTTCAACCTCAGTATTTTATCTATAACAGAAGACATGTTTAGTACGCAAGCTGTGGCCAACCCTCATTTTCAAACCTAATTGAAAACTACCACAATTCATATCATTCATAAAATAAAAATAAAAATAAAATATCCTTGTTATATTCCTTTTAACTAAAGAAATCTAGGATACTTTACAATTCAGATGTTTCTGGTGAAAATTTATGTGGCCACATAGCAAGCAAGGGTGCAATGTTCCAGGAATTTGATATCTTTAATAAGAATGAAGAGTATGTAGTAGTGAAAGAACATGAAGAATAAATGTCCACTTTTTCGTACATAGGTGAAGAGTGCAAGTAATGTTTAGTTATGTTTTCTACAATACCACATTATTGCCTCTAACGATTCTTTTGAGTCAGACACCCCCTGAATCTATTGACAACGTAAGTATCTTTCGCTAGGATGCAGGACACGGGCTTTTTTTTTTAAAGTTTGCGTGTCAGACGCTAACACGCTTCAACACGCGTTTGATATGCGATCAATATTTTGGGACACGTAATCAACGTTTTGACACGCTCTGACACATGTTTTCCACACGCGGTCAACCTTTTCGATACATAGTCAATGCTCCGACACGTTTTTTTTAAGGTCTATATTTTATTTTATTAATTAAAAATGAAAAATTAATTTATAAGTCAATTATTTTTCTGTTATGGAATTTCACATAAAAAATTAACGAAGTATAAAAAATTACTTTTGCTTTATATTTATATTATGAAATTTGAATATTTGATTAGTTATATGACTTATTATGAACTGTTTTAAGTATTAAATATAAATTATATTATATATATTAAAAATATTATTTAATATCAAAATGTGTCTTAGTGTGTCAAAATATGATATTTTTTAGAATTAATGTATCAGCGTGTCGTATCATATCGTGTCCTGTGTGAGTATTGGTACATCATGGATCTTTCGTATTGTTGCTACGCACCCTTTTTCACTGGCTTTATCTTGTCCCACACATTTTGCTTTGTTGACACATTTCTTTCTTTTGTGACTGTCTTAGTACTATTTCCTTATGATGATAGCATTATATAGTACTATTAGAAAATTGTTTGGACCTTTCTAACAAATTTCCTCAAAAGTATTGCTCTAGATCTGTAGTGTTATCTCATTTCCACTTTTCCATTTTCAATGTGTTTCAATTAATAAATTGTTTTCAAAACTCCCATTGCATTAAATGTTCTCTT